ATAACAAGTTTGCTAAAAATTAACACAAATGAAAAATTAAATTGAAGGAATGGAGGATCCACTTTATGCCAAAATGCCTTACCCCAGTATTTTTCGCGGAGGAAACAATGCGGACCCATCTTTTGTCGACAACTTCTAGTCGATCAACCTAAGAGGTAAAATACTACAAAGAATGGGTTATTCCAAGTGATGCAAAAAATAAGTTGCGTAGTAAAGTAAAAAGTACACAGTTCAACTTACAATGCCGGGTTCAAGGAATTCGTGAAAGAATTCCTTCCAAGAAATCTCTCTATATGACTGGTAATCCATAAATAGATAAAGAGCGAATATAAGACCGACAGTAAATGCTATTTGTTGCCAAGTACCAGGGCTAAATTGAGAGTTATAAGCCTGTTAGCAGATATTTTAAATTGAAGATCCTGAACAACTTACAACTGGTCGAGAGGACCACCGGGACTGCCTTTGCTACCTTTGCTCTTCTTATCTAGAAAAGGTAGATAAAAAACGAGTAATCATTCAAAAAATTTCTTTTTTAAAAAGGCACACCTGATGATTTTGATTTATCATCTGTAGAAGACTTTTCCTTCTCCTCCTTTTTATCAGTCTTGCTATCATCAGTATCAAAGAACTTCTTGAATCCTTTTGGGGTCGCAAACCAAGCAACGGTTTCTCTAACTCGTTCCATAAATTTTTGATCAAAACTAACATCTTTTTGTAGTAATCGAGCCACTTCTTTTTGTGATAACGCATTTTTTATCTAGAGGAGAAAGATTTTTCGAGAGAAAAAGCAAAGGTTGAGGAGCAATCAAACTTACTTTATCACTAACGGAGCTACATGTTACTAAAGAGGACGACGTAGACGATAAAGCTCTCAATCTAACCAGATAGATGGCTCCATTTCTTAGGAAATCCCGGTAATTTCCTCCGTGAGTGCAGATGCGTAGCATCCCTGGAAGAGCGATATTGTTTGCACATACACCACCACTATTACTGTTGGAAATATATAATATCTATCTAAAATTTCTGACAAGTGTATGATGGAGTGTAAAAACCTACAGAACAAAGCTCCTCAAGTAGTAAAACTTTGAAATTTCAAATCCGGGTATTGCGAACGTCAACTGTTCCGAAGAG